CGGAGGTAAAACATGCCTTTTTATCATCTTCTTGTCTGAAACCCACTCCCTATCATGATTTGGGTAAAGTATTTCAGCTTCTGCCCTCCCAGAGGCATTAGGAACACCTTCCTGACAGTGACACAGATTCTGGCAGCCCAGCCCAGCACAGCCCCCTGCCCTGGCCACAGGCCCAGAGGAGGCCCCCACTTAATGGCCCCTCAGATTCCCCAGCAACCTGGTTTTGAAGCCTCTGGCAGCTAGCTTCCCATCCACTCCCACCCTTCTCCAGGCCTCTTTCAGGGCACCAGGCGACAGGGACCCACTTCAAAGATACCTGCCCCTTCCCCTAGAAACCATATTTGCAGGGCGGTGCCTCTTCTCCACAGCCTGCCAGTCTGTAGACAGGAAACCTGGGTCCAGCCAGGCGGGCCCTTCCCCACTAAGGCAAATGGGGACACAGTGGTCTCTGCAGCTGTTCACACAGGACCGCAGAGGGCTGGGAACTTCTAACCACAGCGAGATGAGGAAGAGGCCAAAACTAGTGAGAGGCCACCTGCCTCAAACACACCTCCTCTAACTCCAACTGAAGAAATTCTCAGAACAATTTCCAGTTCAGGAGAAAAAGAAAAAAAAAAGATGGGGGTGACTACAGATTATGAGACTCTAGATGGATGGATAGATAGAGGGGCAGTCGTGATAAAGTAAGTACAGCTTAAGAATATTAGAATCTAGGTGGTGGGTATACAGGTGTTCACCGAAAAGTTCTTTTAATTGTGCTGTACGTTTGAAAGTTTCATAATAAAATACTGAGGGGAAAAAAGAGACACTCAGGCTGTTAAACAAATAAAATGTGTAGCTTTATTTGGATCCTGATTCTAGCAAATGAACTGTAAAACTAAATCATGAGGTTTGGGGGGGGGTTGTGATAATGGTATGGTGGTTTTGCCTTTTCAAAAGAGCTTTTATTTGGCAAAAAAGAAAGGAATATACAATTGATTACATTAAAATAGAAAGCTGCAAAAAAACAACCAAAAAAAATGAAATTTCAACTTATTATCTAAACCATCGTCCTACCTCACACCAAATCATCCTGTCAATGACATTCTAAGAGACTTACTGAAATCCTAATTTGTCTTTAGAATTCCTTTTGTGTAGCAGACCTCTAATCTTAATCAGGAAAAATTATTTTTTTTTTTTTAGGATCCCACACTGGCTCCTGACAGTCACCACTTCTTCTTCTTCCTTTTTTTAAATTAAATTTTTAAAATGTTTACCTATTTTTGAGAGAGAGACAGAGCATGAGCTGGGGGCAGAGAAAGAGGGAGACAGAATCCGAAGTAGGCTTCAGGCTCTGAACTGTCAGCACAGAGCCCCCACGCGGGGCTTGAACTTGTGAACCCCAAGATCATGGCCTGAGCTGAAGTCAGATGCTCAACCAACTGAGCCACTCAGGCAGCCCTCCACTTCTTTATGTATGTGCTTATACACCACCGTAAATAAATCTCTTCGCAATTAAAAGAAACAAGAGTTCTTAATAAGTACCTAGTACGATATTCAATGTGGGGAAGAAATAGGTTGGGGTGTAGCTCAAACAAGACAGTTCATGAGTTCATAATCACTGACGCTGGTTAATGGATACATGGGATCCATTCTTTAGCTTTTTTGATGTTTTGGAATTTTTTCATAATATTCTTTTCCTTTTCTTTAATCACTTGGATGGGTTCTTTGTTTTTACATGAACAAACTCCACCACAGCCAGCCACACTCTGGGGTTCCCCTGCTCCATCCTGACCAAATCTAAACCGGATGTGAGTCTGAAAGAAGATGTACAAACAGTGGCAACCACCTTCCCCCTGGGTGGGTGGTGGGGAGCAGCCTCCCCTGATAGGAGAGGGTAGGGCCCCCTCTGCCTGAGATTCTCCTCATCCTTCACTCCCACCAGACTCCAAAGAGGCCCCCACAGCCAGTCCCCCTCTCCTACCCCCTGGACTGAAGTAGATGCTTTGGGAGCAGTTTTTAGTTTCTGTAGGAAACCTCGCAGAGACAGCAGGGCTCAGGGCCTCAGTCTTTAAAATGGGGTTCAACTGGGGTCTGGCTTCCCCCTCAATACATTCCCTCCCTCTCCCCAAAATATGTAACTGTTGAAGATTCTGGTCACTGACTATACAACTGTAACAGGCCAAGTGGGACATTAAGAATCTCTCTCCCGGGTTGGAGGGGGTCAGTGCCTATACCACTCCAAACAAACAGGCCCTCAGTCCCTTGAATGATGAAGAAACCCTGCAGAGAGAGAACCAAAATAGCAGACAATCCAAAAAATGCTCTACACTTGGGTTTTAGGACTCATTTGTTTTCCCAGTGTGCATCTGTGTGTGTGCCAGCCTGTGTGTTGGGCCAGTGTATCCAGATCTAACAGAGGGATAGAAATCACTCACAGAACCAAACCCAAAAATTGGCAGGAGAGACCCCAATGCCTCGCTCAGACTCCCTCCTTTTGTGACAGGTAGTCCCCATGGTGAAGCCAACCCATGCCCCTTGTGCCCTGCCCCCACCTTCACTAGTAGTAGACTTGATGGCAGGAATGTAGACTTTCATACAGGCTCTGCCACATAAACATTACGTGACCTCTCTGGGCCTTGGTGTCCCTATTTGTACAATGGAGACAATAACTCGTGCTCTGCCCATAGGGTTGTTTATAAGGATTTTTAAAAAAATAGGGAAAGCACTTTATAACCATACTATACCATTTATAAATTATGCCATACCAGTGTTTCCCAATAATGCCTCATAGAATATGGTCAAGGCAAGTTTGAGAAATATGCTATTTACAATCCAGCCTTGTCTTATACATCATGGGCAGGTGTGCATATTAAAGGCTCTGAAAAGTCCTGCAGTGAAAAAAAAAATCTGTTTAACAATATTGAATCTATTAGGTCCGATTTCTTTACTTTTTGTGCTCCCTAAACTTGTTCCTCTTGGAATACCAATTAATTAATTATATAACCTCCTTGAGACCTCCGAAGAGCAGTTTAAGAAACTGAACTCAAGGGGCACCTGGGTGGTTCAGTCCGTTAAGCGTCAGACTTCAGCTCAGGTCATGATCTCACGGTTCGTGGGTTCAAGCCTCACGTTAGGCTCTGTGCTAACAGCTCAGAGCCTGGAGCCTGCTTTGGGTTCTCCGTCTCCCTCACTGTTGTCTGTCCCTCCCCCACTTGGGCTCTGTCTCTCTGCCTCTCAAAAATGAATAAATGTTCAAAAATTTTTTTTAAATAATTGGACTCGAGGACGTCGGGTTCCTGTCTTGGCCCAGCATGTTTCTCTGTGGGGCCAATCTTACTCAGATTCCCATAACTCACCCAGGCCCCAATGCCCTCCATGTGGGTCCACTTCCACTCCCACCCTTGGAAGCCCTACCCCACCACATCACTCCATGCAGGGGACAGAAGAAAACCTTCAATTTCTCTATTTTGGCCTGGAAGACCAGGGCCCACCAACTTCTCCCATACATGCACCTATTGTTCTGGTCACTCCCCTCAACCCCTGTGCCCAGATCCATCTCAAAGCCTCAACCCGACTGTCTGTCCATGTCCCCTGGCCCCCTCAGTGGCCTTCTATCCTTCCTCCTCGATGGGCAAACACACTCTGCCCTTCCCAATACCAGTCGGAGGCCAGCACACATTCTGTGGCTCCTCCAAAACTCCTTTTCCTCTGAGCTCCGCCACCCACTGCACGATCGCCCTCTGGTCACTTCTCTGCCTCCTCATCCATTTTGGCAACTCCTCAGGCTGGAGGAGTTGTGCTGCATCTCATTTAGAGGTAACAGTGCAAGAGGTTAAAAGGATATACTCAGAAGCCTGAGTTCAAACCCTGGCTCTACCACTTATTGATTGGATGATCAAATTATTTAACCTTTTGGGGCCTGCTTCCATATTTGCAAGCAGAGCAAACAAAAGTGCAGGCTTCATGGGGTTGTTGGGAGGAATTAATGAGTTGACTGAAGTGCTTGGGGCAGTGTCTGGTACACAGTGAGTGCTGGGTAGTGTTAGCTGCTATTATTATTATTATTATCATCATCATCATTACCATCACCACCACCACCACCACCACCACCACCACCACCACCACCACCACTACTCTGTCTCCCCCACAGAACCTTCCACAGGCTGGGCAGTCTTTAAAACCTCTTCATAAATGCATTCATTGACTCCCTACCTCCTTCCACAAGGCTCTAAAGTGGTTGCGCACAGAGAACCCCGGGAGGGCTCTCCAGGATCAGCTGAGGGCACCAGGAACATGATTTGAGGCCAGAGACCGGGGCGGGGTGTTCCGTTCCCCTCCCCTCCCCGCGACTGCCACATCAGGGTGCTTTCCCGCCCCAGCACAAGAGCCCAGCCCAGCCAAACCAGCCCTACTGCCAAAGCCAGGGCTAGATGAGTCCCGAGTCCGACCACAGATGAGGAAACTGAGGTTTACCGGGCGGCTTTCCTGCTTCACCGCCGCACGCCGGAGCTCGCCAACCCCCCAACCTTGTCTGCTGTGGACAGAGCTCAGTTGTCAACTAGGCTCGGGAGAAAGAAGGGGAGGGCGGGGAGAGACACACAGCCTTCACCTGATGGAGTTTAGGGACCGGGTGCGGGGTGAAGGGGCGGTGCAAGAGTCCAGATCTTGCCCGGAGCTGATCTGTGCCGATACTACCATTTCACAGTAGACGGAGTTACCCACATGATCCCAAAGGACAGAGAGCAAGAGCAGTCTCTCTTTTCTCCCCCAAACCTGCTTGTGGTTTTTCTCCTGGGGCATAAGAACCTTGCTAATCACCCTGGTTGCTCCTAACACCAACACTACAGGAAGGGTAATACCGAAGACGGCCGTCGGCGGCCGGGAGGCAGTCGGGGCCCGCTTCCTGGAGGAGGCGGTGCATTTCGCTCGCTGGGTACTCTAGAGCCAGCCCCTTCCCTCACTCACCGGCGTCCAGAGAGGTGAACGCGGCGCTCGGGCTGGTTCGTCGGTTGCCTCCGCCGCCGGGCACGACCAGCGTCTGCAGCTGCCGGACCAGCTCGGGCATGCGGTCCCAGTGGCCCTCCGCGCGGCAGCGCTCCAGCTCGCTCTCCATCTTCAGGTGGGAGCCGTGCGCGCCCTTCGCAGCCATCTTCGCGCGGGCGCTGTCATGGGAGGTGCGGCCGAGAAGGGGAGACCC